TTTTTTGTCAACAATACAGTCAAGTATCTTGATTCTGTTGTATATGTACATTTTATACACTCTTCTGTATGATAAACAGACATTAAAAAGTATTGTGGTGCTAAAATACTTTAAAATTATTGAGGTTTACTACATATATTCATTCAATAATAGCAATAAGAAATATATTTAAAATATATATAAATGTATATAACTGAATTGCAAAATATTTGAAACCTTTCAATCGATAAAATATCCTTATCCACTTTATGTATGTGTAAAATAAATATTTCCCCTTAGCATTCCCACAGTGGTTCAGATTATTCAGTTGTAAATTTGTGAATATATCTCCTTGGTGTCTTCAAAGTTGTTAGGGTTACTTAGCGGTGATGTATGTGAATATATCTCTTTGTTGTTCCCATAGTGGTTCAGGTTATTTTGTTGTGGTATATGTAAATATAAATCCTTGTTGTTTTCAACCTGTGAGAGTTCGTTGTGGCTAGTCATATAGTACATGTGCCTCCATGATGATCTGGAGTCACAAGTTATGTTGTTGACTAGAACAGGTGTTCTCTTCCTCTGTTTCCTGCAATTTGAGTGTTACTCAATTAGAGAATACTGCTTATTAGAGAATATATTGCCTTCCCAGGGAGGAAGTGTTATTTTATTAATTGAAATTTATTTTGGAAGTAATTAAGATTTTATTAAAATTAAGATTAGTATTTCATATATGCATAAGCACCTAAGGAGTCAGAAAGTATCTGGCAATAATATAGATACATTTTAGAAAATGGAACAAAAACTAATATCATATGTTGTTTATATGTTCTATATTACCCATAGAGTTAAAATACAGGAGGCTTTTATATACTTTTCAAAATTTAATCATTTAATACTTGAAAAAAGGAACTGTCAAATTATATAATTTCTAATTGCTTAAAAATAATTAAAGATGTCATTATGAAATGGCTATCATCTAATATTGCTTAATATAATAAGGGATTGATTTTAAAAAGTGCTTTAAAATCAAATCAGAATCTGATTGATAAAAAGCTTAGTATTATCCAAAATTTGAACATTTTTATGAGGTATTTATTGGAGGCTATTTATTACTAAAAAACAAATGCAGAGATTTTTAGCAGTGGTTTGCATAACTCTCTAAAATTATATTTTGGGACTAAATTATCATTGAAATACAAATTTTAACTTAAAATCAACGTGACACTAGAAATTTAGAAAGCAATTGGGCATTTATTTTTTAATTTAATTTAGGTATATAATTTGATTATGTAACTTCCGTGAGTTTAAAGAAATACCCTACAGAGCTTTTTAATTTATTTTCTGTCAGGAGTTCTGATTCTAACTGTTTGCTTAGTAAAGTATATGTAATTTATAATTAAAAAAATATTTTACTATGGTGTTAACATCTAAATCACATCATTACTAATATTAGTAATATTAGTATACTAATTGTTAATATTGAGCCTGTATCTTCCTCTCCCTTTTGCTCAATTACATTGAACTATCAATGCACAAGGAATTCTTAAATTGGATGAGTTGAACTTCAAATATAATATCACTGATCACCATACTCATACTGTCTTATACAACCCAATGAACATAGTCAATATTCATTCAAAAGTGGTGAGATCATGAATGTCACCACTAGAACTATTATTTTTCTTGTATTAACTGCCATAAACCTAAGGATTACATTATATATCCCAGTCCAGCTTTTTCTAGATCTGAGTAGCTCCTCTCCCAAGCTTGTTTCTTCTTTTCTTCAGGTAGTTGGGAAGTGGCCATCTTCAATGATTTAGAAGTATTCAGGATCTGCTCTTCCCTTAATGCAAAGAATATATGGTGCACTCATTTACACATACAAGAGATAAATGAAAGCCAAAGCTGAAAGTAAAATGGACATAATTTTAATGATTTTTTTTTTAATTTTGTGCATTGGATTCAAACAGCAAACTGTGTGCACTCAACTGTTATCACAATGTTGTCAAGAGGTCTGTGTCTTTACCATTTTACACACAATTGTTCAATACAGCATGTTTTCAGCCTCAAGGATACCAGGGGTGTGGCATGGTAAGCAGTGTTGGTAGTGCACCTAGCCTTTATATTATCTAACTTGAAAATATTTCTCTTCTATGATTCCTTTTTTTCTTGATAAAAATAGTTTTCACCAAACGTTGGTGGTGCACACGCACTACCATTCATGCTTGACATCACACCCCTGACAGGAACACATGTTCTTATTTTGTTGATAAAAAGTATTACAAAAATTTCCATACAAAAACTATTTTCATAGAAATCTTGCATTTCCACAAATAAACCTGAACATTTTTTTTTTTGAAAAAAAAAAAACTGCTCAAGAATTTTGTTCATTTAACATTGTGACTGTATTGGTAAATGCAGTCCACTTCAAAGTTCTCTCACATACTTTTCTATAGCTGACTGGTCCCCTTTCTCCTATCACTGAGATCTGCCCAGGTTCCATCAAGTTCATATTTAGCAGGAACAAAAGTTTGGATTGACATATCCAAATATTAGAATGAAATCTTCAGTCTTCCACATAGCCATCAATACTCAGCCCTCTTTTACAAGTTAAGACAAAGATTGCAAAACATCATTGTTTAAACTCAGAATCGCTGAACCAACTGTTGCTTTTTTATTCATGGTATAGGGTTAGGGAAAGGGTGTCGGGAGATAGATAGGGATCTGGCTGAGTTGTATGTTAAATTTCCTGCTTTGTTGAGTTTAAGAAAAACATTATTGCCCTAGTAATTGACATTTCTCTTTCAGTCAGTGACACAGACTGTCAAAATAAGAAAAAAAAAAAAGAAAAAAAAAAGAAAAGAAAGAAAAACAACTGATGAAGATCTGCCTTATATTCCATTTGCCATGGAATTCAGATTTGTTTTGCATTACTTTTTTTTTCACATCCTATGAACACATATTGTCTATTCAGATGATAATTATACTGAGTAGTTGGGGGCTAGTAACATAATCAACTCTATTATCTGGGTAGACTGTACTGTCTCTTGAAACACTACAGTTTTTGCTGATTCCAAGTAGTTTTATTCTTACGACTTTTTCACTGGTTACCCTGTTGGACATTGATATTCCATCTCCTGACAACAGTTGGGCTTCAAAAGGAGCCTGTAATTTCTCACTGGACTGCATTTGAAACAAGCCACAAAATGCACATGTAACATTCACTCAGAAGAAGGGAGGAACCCATGATAAACAGTGTAACCCCGTGTAACTTGGTTGATCCATGATGCTTGGAAATCAAGTCTAATCATTGCAACTGTTTAGATCACAGAGTCTCTAGTTCATAGACACAGCGGCATGAGGTAACTCATTTTATTTTGCACAAGTTGCATATTTCCACAGGAAATATTCTCGCTAAATTGTTTGGAAAAAAAGACGACAGTTTGTGCTTGGGTGTTTGGCCTCCCAGCTTTATGCCATGGTTTCTTTACCTGGCAACCTTCTGTCGTTAAATGTGTGCATGTTGATAACTTCTTCTGTTTTCACAATAACTGGGGCCTGTGGCTTATGTTTTAACCGACGCTGGCACTTCAGGGACATTCTCAGCTCTTCTACCATGGCACTACAGAAGGACCTCTACAGAAGAACACAGAAAAAGTGAATATTATAAAACAGATAAAATGTAGCTGTCCAAAAACAATATTATTAAAACCATTCTCAATAGACGTGTCAAACATAGAAGGCTTGAAGGTTTAAAAAAAAATCGTCATAAAAATTATAACAAATTGTTACACTTCTATTACGTAACACGTGATAATTAAAATAGTCTATCAAAGTGGGCTAGTTTAAAGAAAGTCTACACCTGACACTGAAATGAACTGCCAACTAATAATGTATATATTACAGATATATAGAACTAAATTTTCTGATGACACTATGTGAAGTTGATTAGCATAAGATAGAAATCTAACTTAAAATTGAAATACAAACATACCCAACTGTATATCGGAAATCCATTTTGATAGTTAAACAAAAATGATAATATAGGAGATGTACTACTTTTCAGATTATAACATGAGATATGCAAATTTTCTTTAAACATTGATTCTTCATTGTGCATCTCAAAACAACAAAAATAGCACTCACATAGACATAAAAATATGGAAAATAATTTCTGACATTTCATTATATCTTTTTTTGTGATTATTCCTATAAATACATTGATGATGATTAGAAACAAGTATGATTTAATCATGAAATGACAAATTGTAACACATTAAACATCCATGAACAAATATGAACTTTTTTGTCATCACTAGCTTGATAACTGAGAGCTGATAAATAATTTATCCCATGAGGGAAAAAAAAATCCTATAAATATTTCTTTTTCTTAATTCCCATCTCATTGGCAACAGATTTGTTAGAAATTCTGTATATCTGGGGGTCATTATTACAGCTCCTCAAAATTAATATTACAGAGTCATACATATGAAACAAAATTTTGTTAGTTTCTCACCCCAACTAGTTGAGATACACATGTGTCAGTTATGTATAAATCAGATTTATTGACCAACTGCATATTGTAATTGAAACTCAGATGTGCTGAGACTTAGGCTTTTTCTATGCTATAACCAAAAATGTGGACAACAGCCAAAAATGTGAAGTAAGAAAAATTTATATAACTCTATAAAGTGATATGAAAACATAATGCAATATACCTATTCAAGTATGCATGTAAAGAGTTATCTGTTGCTTTATGTTTTACTGCTTTGATGTTTATTGACTTAGGCTGATTCCAAGAGAATAAAGAATAAAACTAATACCATATATGTATATTACTTTAAAAAAATTATTTTGCTTGCATATATTTTAGGACACTCAAAATAACATTTTGAATTAGTTAGGCATCTATGTGTTCGGAAAACTAATTCAGACGAGGGGAAAGTGACTTTCTACAGCTTATTCCTGATTTCCACCAGACATCCCAGTTTTGTGATTTTGACATTGCTCTGTTACTTTCTCGTCCATCTGCAGCTGTATCCTCATTTTTCTCTGATGGCTTCCTTAAACAGTTTACTGAGTGGTCTTCCTAACTCTAACTCTACCCTATTCCTTCTCTAAAAGCTCACAATTGCTAGGATAATCTATTTTTTTGAACAACAATTATTAATAGCACTTTCTTCTCTAAGAAACATATCAAATCCAAACCTACTATTTTTCCTATCATGATTTCTCTGATCTAGCCCTCCCCCCTTTCCCTCCATCACCATCTCTCTTTCTTTTCTTGCTCTACACACACCCTTCTCTGCTTGGATCTCCAAGGTTTTTCCCCTTTGCTTCTCCTTGGTCCGGTGCCTTGGTGAGTTTGTTCATCCTTCACATCACTGCAACTTTATCCTTTACCTCAGAACAAGACTCCAGTTTTAGCTCAATTAGGAAGTACTTTCCAACTGACCAATCATAGCGTTTTCACTTGTTTCAGTTTCCCCCCTCAGTATTTTTCACTCATTGTCATGTTTTTCTATGTGGCCTCGCAGTCTTCTCTGTATCATTCACTGATGTGTGAAGAGCAGAGCTCGTGTTCTCACAGCACTGCTTGTACCGTGTTGACTGAATGAACAACAGTAGCTACACATGACCCTAAAATTTAAATTCTTATTTAACAACATCTCTAATTTAATTGTCTATAAAAGTTTTTCAGGATTGGAAGCTTAGCAAAATGCACTGTATACAAGTTATCTAATTAAATTAGGCAAAACTTTAGCATTCGCTTAATGACATTAAATTAATAAAAATAGTAATGTATTAGCACATGTAATGGGTGATGATTAAATGCTACTCATGAATTCCCCATTAACTATAGTCACTGCCATGCATTATTTATTATGTGTTAAATTATACAGTTCTGAAATTGAAGTATTATATTTCTATTAAAGGATTTACATGGCACCTGACAGCCAGTATATGGACACTGTTGCTTGTTGCTTAATACCTACTATTAGATGTACTTATTAAGAACATGATGAGAATGATGATGAAGATGGTGATGATGACAACACTGCAGAAATGGAAAAATCTGACTCCAAAAGGGGGAGGAATACATAGTCTTGAAGTAACTTAGTCTTGGCTCTCTGTTGAAACATTTAACAGAATAATTGATTAGATAATATAACAAGGTCAAAACTGCAGAAATGGAAAAATCTGACTCCAAAAGGGGGAGGAATACATAGTCTTGAAGTAACTTAATCTTGGCTCTCTGTTGAAACATTTAACAGAATAATTGATTAGATAATATAACAAGGTCAAAATTGATCTCATTGACATTTAAAAATGCTATAGGATGTGAATAATACTAATTGTTGGAAATAAGCCTTCACTTAAAACCAAAAAATTTCCAAATGTTAAATAATTTGTGACACTCTCTTCTTGGCAATCTCGATCTTTAGACATTTTGAGTATATTAATTTCAAAACAGAATAAAATAGAAAATTACTTTTTATCTATATTAAGAGTTGTCTAAGCAACTCATTTTCATAGCAAAAAAAATCTTTTAAATGTACATATAAATTCAATTATGAAATGACTCGATTTTATTTCTAAGTTGAGTATTTAGTACCCTATACTTACTTCAGACTAAAAATAAGGACACATAAAACTATTTTTAAGTAGTTTCAGATAATATTAAATTTATAATGCTGAGTAATAAAATGTAGATGAAAAACCTGCTCCAATCAAAGACAGGAATAGTTTTGTCTTCTATGTTTTGAAATGGTTTTAAGTAAATTATATTTACAAATTTAGAAAAAAATCTCAAAATTGCTAATCCTTAAGCCACCATTACCTTTATATATTTTAAAATATATATTTTATATATTTTTAAAGGCCATTAGAAAGTAAAAATTTTATTCAAGCAAACTTAATCAATCAATTGATAGAACTGATTATGTAACTTCAAAATTTCAATGTTATTTTGAGAAGTTATTAATTTTCTCTCTGAATAGGCTGAATTTTGCCTTTTTCTTTTTGACCTATCCATTTAAGTTTATGTGAAAAATTGTTTTGTATTAGGTTATTAATAAAGCCACTGTGAGACAGCAGCTTCTCTTACTTGCAGAATATTTCTAATTCATCGTAGAAATCTGATACCCTTTAGATTTGAGCAAGATTTTGGAATTAGCATAGCAAATTAAAGGACCTTAATAATATTATCAAATACTGTTCATTCATGATACTAGGGCAAACATATTTTTCCTTTTTTTAGAGTTCTGGAATGCAAATTCCATATTTTGATCTATGTAAGTATCCAAAGTTGAAACTGTACAGTTTTGTGAAATATAGTTGTTTTCTCTGCTGTATGTTGCCAAAAAATCAGAGTTTTAAATGAAGTTTTAACTTGCTATCATTTGATAGAGATAAATTGTCTTTCCTACTTCATACAAATGATTGAAATTTATTTTATTTTTTTAAATCAAACTATGAAATGTCTTTGAAAAACCCAAGTGCATGTAACAAGTGTTTCTCAGGTTGTTGTAAAAATAGTAGAAACAATAAAAGAAATGAAGAAAGGAAGGCAGAGAAGGGCAAAGGGATGGAAAAAGAGAGGGCTGGAGCATGGAAATAAAGAAAAAAAAAAAAGTTATCTTGCTTTTCAAATCACTTCTCCATAGGGGTAGCAACACATGCCTTGTGTCATTAAGGTAAGTTCCTTAGGGTGAAAGCAACAATGAAATGTTTCTGCACATTAATAAAACAGACTACAAAAAGAATATAGAAAGGCACAAGGATACTAACCATTATTAAAAACCTCTTTTAGTAAGTTTCAAAAGTTTACTAAACAGTGTCTGGATGGTATGGTGGCACTAACCAAATAGAAGATTCCTGAAAATGAAAATTTAAATCTTTGAGCTGTTAGCACGTATAATTGCATTTAAATTAGTAAAACTCTGTATAAAATCCATTATATTTAATGAGGCAACCTGTACTTACGCATCTCTAGTACTTGTAATGATAAAGATCTGGAAACCTTAAAAATATAAACTTGGCGATATTTACATTGCCTTTTTTTAAAGCTCTATTTTGTATTTTGACTAGAATAAGAAAAGATATAAGTAGTCCACAGATAAATGTTTTCAATAATATCATTATTGGTGTTACAGAATAATTTGTTCTTAATAGCTTAACTTTTAAATTTATAGGTATATTTATATGATAACATGATGTGACAGCATTTGCAGAAGCACAGATTTTTTTTTAGTATTATAAATCTAGTTGTAACCATGCTCCATATTAAACACTGACATACGTAAACTTCATTTTAAGGTTAAAAACATATTTAGCAATGTCTTTTTTTTAAAAAAAAGGAACTAAAGAAAAATAACCACTTTTTTTAACTTTTAAGCTAATCACTCTTATGTTAAATATATATGTTAATTTACTAACTGAACAAACAATAATCATAAAATATACGCTACTTTCAAGTATGCATTTAGTATTTACTTTAAAGGGAAACTCTATTTTATGAATCTTGCTGTCCTATTCTTTGATAGTATAAAATTAACTAAATGCTATTCTGATATTTATGAAGAATAATCATAATTTCCATACATTTTTTGCATACAGTCCTTACTCCAAGCCCT